ACGCCCCACTAAAATGCATGTTTCATCAGGCAGTGATTAAAAGCACCCCGCAACACTTTGAGGATGCCATACACCCAAAACCAACTACGTCATGTATCTATAAGTACATGGACAAAACTATTAGCCAATTAGAGCATCGAGCATCGTTATCTGCATAGTTAACACGGCCACTGTGGTGTGGCGCAACACACCAGCACTGCACTTAACACCAGCATGTTTGCGGTCATGCTGAAAGTGAACCATATGTTAAACGAAAACAAGAAAGCGCTGAAGGTCATGATGCGCTAAGTATGAATGCAGCTTGTTGCCCCTTTGTCGTAGCCCCCACTCCCTCATTTGTGCAGTTTCAGAGCGATCACTGGTATGAAAGGAGAGAGAGTGCTTAAAGTGCATGACAAATTCTGTAACTATGCTCATAATTGAGAGATTCTAAAATTTTAGCAGCAGTCGATTTATAAGGCAATAAACTCTGATAATCAGAGAGGTCATTCCATGATTAATTTGAAAAGTGTTGCACGGCCTCTTTAAGCATTGAAAATTGGGCAGGTTGGATTACATTCATTGTTAGGAGAGTGAGAGGACGTGAAACAAAGATAACAGACAGCACGAGTACTCCTGTTGTCTATTCTACTCTTTGTCTCATCCTTTTGTCTGGTAGCCACAATTAAATAGCCTTTGACCATAAGCAACCAGTACTTTAAGCAGAATTTCCTTTATTTTGACAGCAAGTGAGCACTTAATTGCTATTGAACTGTAACTTGTCACAAATCTTGCAAATCAATCATAGGTGTTAGAAGACCGAATTGAAATACATTTTAAGTTAGTTGATCATATACTCATACAGGCGGCTAGCTAACAGCATTGCACAAATTCTTGATTGGAACTCAAATAAATGTTGTAAATTAGGGAAACTCTCACCCTTAAGTGCAGTAATAAAATCAGAAAGCAGAACAAAAGCCAGTAGTGAAAGCACAGGTGACTAAATATACATAACAAACTTTCATACAAGTTTCTTATGTGCACCAACAATAATAAAAAGAAATTGAGTATGCAGATCTGTATAGTACTTTTCTTTAAGAAATTATGATCGGAAGGGGCAGGCTGAGTGCCGGTTACACACCTGCAAACACAGCATACAAGCAGCGTAAGAATAAGAATCAAACCACTCCATGAATTGAAATACTAGGGCTAGTTATCACCCATGTTGTCTTAGAAGCTGCGCCCAATCATTCATCCAAAGCCTGAAGCTCTTGCGCTCTCCCAGCTTATACAGAAATCGCATTATTTTGCGAGTTTCCAAGGCCCATGCAAATCTCGTAATGCTTAATAATGTATGGAAGTTTATAGAGAAATACACGTTTTGTTAATCTCAAAATCTAGACAATGAGTTCATATTGTTATAAAAAAATTACAAGGCATGACAGTGGCTGACCAACACTTTTGCACTGCTCCTTTTTCGATATAGTAAATAACATAAATATTCGGAGTTCTGTCCGCCAAACAAAATAGAGTTCACAGGGTTTTTTATTACTGCAAACATTCTACGAATTACCATGTTTGATAAAGGTCCAGCATTTCTAATTAATAACACATCATATAACATGTTAAATGGATATGTATCAAGAGATCTCTGAACCATTTTCGAGTTAGAAATTTCTTATATAGCTGAACTACCAGTCTACAGTTATCAGACAATCGGAACAATTTTTCGAGTCGTGCTTCAACTGCAAAGCTGCAACATTTTACGAATGGGGTGTTTCGACGTGCATAATTTCTCTTCATTCTGCTTGCCATGCATCCTCGCCAATTCAGTGCAGAGCTATGGGTGGCACCAACATAGTCTTCTCTATTGTTCGCTTCTAATGTGCCCTGCCAACTGTACAACACTGCATGTGTGGAAGCTTCCCCAAATGAATTAGTTGCGTACAACGGGGGAGGCCTCCACAATTCATGCAATAAAGTCAGCTACCACAATGCTGGAGCTATGGTATCTCCTCATCATGTGATCGACACACTTTCAACCCGCTGAAGTCCCGTGCAAGATCATGCAGACTTCACGAAGTGTGGACAACGATCTCGGCATGAGATTGTTTCTCTACTCGTGGCCTCCGCGATCGGCTGCCGGCGGCGGGCCGTTGCTCCGGCCGTCCCATTCGGCGCGAAAACAATGGGAGCGGTGTAATTTTGCTAACTCTGACACACGCCGCGAGGCGGCGCCGTTAGCCTAAGGTATGATGTCGTGAGAGGAATATGGAAAGGGGTCATGGTTCCTGGGCTGACATTCGGCAATGCGGTCTTGTGCATGAGATCAGAAGTTCAAGCAAGATTAGAAATTAAGCAACGTGGAATAGGTAGGCTTGCTTTAGGAGCTCACGGGAATACACCAAATCAGGGAGTACAAGGTGATATGGGATGGACATCATTGAGGGCAGGGAAGCTAGCAGCAAGATAAAATTTGAGAAGCGAATAAGAGAAATGGGGGAAGAGCATTGGGCTAGGAAGGTTTTCAGCTACTTGTACATGAAGAATGTCGATACAAAATGGAGGAAGCGAACCAGGAAGTTGACTGGTAAATACTTAGAAAACAGCAGGTGGCCAAACCAAAAAGAACTATCGGTTAAGAAAAAAGTGAAGGAAATGGAGACTGACATGTGGAGAATGGGCATGATTAAGAAGTCTGCACTAGAGATCTATCGAACTTTTAAGCAGGAAATTGCCAAGGAAAGGATCTATGATAATACTCGGGGTAGTTCTCTACTGTTTGAGGCCAGGACGGGAGTACTGCGAACCAAGACATATCGGGCCAAATACGAAGGGGTAGACACAGTATGCAGTGCGTGTGGAGAGGAAGAAGAAACTGCCGAACACTTGATAATGTTCTGTAAAGGGCTTCAACCTATAGTTCAGGATGATGGCACAGAGTTTTTCAAAGCACTGGGGTTTAAGGACCGGGAGGCCAAAATAGACTTTAAGCGGGTAGACTTAACTAGAAGGAGGTTATGTGATTGGTGGCTAAAGTCAAGGCCCGAGTGAAAATAAACTCTTCACTGCAAAGTACGAATCCTCAAACTCTTTTTTTTAAGGAAAAAAAATATAGTTTTTGGTTCATTAGGTATTACGGCTTAGTGGTGCTAGCCACCGCCCGATCTAAAGGGTACAGCCATATCCATCCATCCATGAACGAGGCTCATTTGACCGACAGTGCCTGCGATTTCAGGTGTTCGCCAGTCTTCGTTGTCGAGTTTTCACTGCAGACAAACCTTGAGTATGCGCTCGATGTGTTTGTACTCGTTCCTGCAAGCAGTACAAAGTTAAGGTACGTACGTTTTTTAAAAGACTTCGTTAAAAAAGTTTGTTTTGCTGCAGCCGGTGTGGTTACGTGAATCGAATGAGGCAGCCCAAACTCCTTTCGCATTTCCTGCAGATTGAATGCCAGTGTGCTGAATTCTTTTGTCACTTTTACGGCCTTTTCGCGAGCTATCACGGCGCTTCACCTTGTTATGCCTTGCCGGCTGTTTCGAAAGTACTTGGCCACAGTGAGCTGGGCTATTTTGTGTGTGAGTGTGTGCGCGCGTGTTGTTTCACGGCACGTGTGCTTGCGTGGGCGTTCGCTGCGCACGTGTGCATGTTACGTGGTGTGCGTGGGGGTTCGCGCGCGCGCGTGTGTGTGTGCGGGTGTGTGCATGCGTATGTGAATGGGTTCGCGGCAGCGTGTTCATGTGAGTGTGTGTAGATTCACACGTGCGCGTGCGCGTGCGCGTGTGTGCGTGCGCATGTGGGTGGGTCCGCGGCGCGTGTTAATGTGTGTGTGTGTGTGTGTAGGTTCACACGTGCGCTTGGAATGTGTGTGCGTGCGCGTGTGTGCGAGACAGAGTGAAAGAGAGCAGCGTAATATCGATAAGCGCTCGAGTGTTGTTCATAGGCAGGTGATTGCAATTGTCGAAAGCTCTAAGCTAGTCTTCCGCTGTGAACGAAGCGACCACGCGTACGAAGCGACAATTTTTTCTTGACTCTTGGTTTACTATCACGTATATGTTGCAGGTGTGCTTAGCGGTCTTACGTAGCTATCGCAATTTCGCTGCCTCATTATTTGCTGTGAGTGAAAATTACACGGTTTTCTGGCGTGCATTACACACCGCTGTCCGCTCTGCTTCTGTATTTTTTCAGAAGAATGTATTGCAGCGTGCCTTTCTGCAAGTCGGACAGGAAAAGAAAGCTCGGAATAAGTTTTCATGAATTTCCTGCGAACGATGATCGTCGCCAAGCGTGGCTGAAGGCGATATCAAGAAAAGATTTTGTCCCAAATGACAAATCATCGAGCAGTGTCGTCTGCAGCCTTCATTTTGCGGATTCAGACTACACTTTGAGGTCCACAAAGCTTCGCCGCCTCAAACGGGATGCTGTTCCGAGCGTATTTTCGGGATACCCAACCTACATGCACCCGCAAAAACCACCAAAACGGCGTAAATTGGAGCGAAAGGTACAGGACTTCCCTTCAGACAAAAAAAAAGGCATCAAGTTTATCAAGTTGCCATGCCAAAATGACTGGTTCAGCCTGTGACAGTGCAACCACCCCAGGCCATTCGTCAAATTCTGATGGCTCGTTGCCATCAGTCCCTGAAGGAAATACAGAGGCGAGTTTTCAAGGTGCGGGCCATGACGGAGGCCATCTGCCGCAGACTTCTGTAAGCCATGTGTCAATATTTAGCCCCAAGGAGGATCAGGTGGCTATAGGGGCGAAAACAAGTGCACAAAATGCAGTTGGTGAACTGCAGCGGCCTACTAACTCAGTTGAATGTTCAGCGCAAACTTGTGATGAATTCCTTCCACGCAGGCAGTCAGATGCAAGGGCAATCAACAGAATGAGGGTGCAATTGTTTAGAAAAGCAGATACTGTAAAGAGACTGCAGCGAGAAAACAGCCGCCTAAAAAAGAAGCTCATTGGTTATGAGAACAACACCGTCCACTCGGCAATCAGAAAATGCTCGAAGAAGGTTGGCACGGCCCAGTTCTGCCTAGAAGATTGCTTAGTGGAGCAGATCACCAATGCAACAAGGCAACGACCCGCATGGTCGCCAGACTTTGTGCGGGAATGTGTACTATTGTACTACTTGTCCCCCAAGGCGTACCGTTACATACGCAACCGAGGCTCGCTTAAACTGCCGTCGAAAAACACCCTCCTTCGCTATGTCGGGAAGTCGAACGGTGAAAGTGGGGTCACACCACTAATGAAGGAACGCTTAAAGCAAGAGGTGGGCAACCTGAAAGAGCAAGCCCGGCTTTGCTCAATTATTGTAGATGAGATGTCCATCAGCTCCAAATACATATATGATCGCAAAATGGATTGCTTTTTCGGGCAACAAACGGCAAAAGAAAACAATGGAGCAGCAGAGAACACCAGCAACATCATGCTTGCCAACAAGGTGCTATGTTTTGTTGCTACAGGATTGTCCACAGCATACAAGATACCTTGCGGCTTCTTCTTCACGAACCGTCTAAGTGGCAAGCTTTTGTACCAGCTTACAAAAGAGGTAATCTCTGAAGTTGAAAATTGTGGTCTGTGTGTGCTCCGGATTGTCACAGATAACCACAAAATTAATGTTACGATGATGCGTCACCTGGGGAACGGCTCACTCAAGCCTGTTGTCACTCATCCATGTGACCCAGAAAGAAGTTTATTTCTGTCATTTGACCAGTGCCATATTATAAAAAATGTGCGAAGCCTTCTGCTTGAGGGGGAGATGACAGACGGAAGCCAACCAATAACGGGACAGTTTGTCAAGCAGCTGTATGAGCTACAAAAGAACGAGGTTGTCAAACCAGTTCGCTTCCTCACGCAGAAGCACGTAGAACCAACGAACTTTGAGAAGATGCACGTCGGCAGAGCAGTGCAGCTGTTTTCAGACGATGTCATCTCGGCACTTTCCTTTTTGAAGGAATACCCGAGTCGCCACCCTCAGGCAGAGAAGTTCAGAAATGTAGAGGCGACAATCTTGTTCATGAAGATGATGCAAAAGTGGTTCGCCATCCACAATGTAGCAAACCAAACTGCGCATGTGCACATGAGACAGCCTGACCAGGTGCACTTCTTTTGCGCGACTGACCAACGCCTAGGCTGGAAAAGGACTTTCCAGACTACCTCGAGGCTCTCAACAATGCCTGTAAAAGGAGTGGGAAGAAGTTTCTAAGCGCAGAGACTTATGAAGCTATTTTGCTGACGAGCAAGTCTACGGTTTTGTGAGTAAAGTTCCTTCTCGAGAGCGGTTTCTTTTATGTTTTGACGAGGAACCTCTCAAGCGACCCTGTGGAACTCCTCTTCAGTTCTCTACGGCAAATGGCCGGTGGCAATGACTGCCTGGATGCAAGAGCCGTGACGTTCAGCCTGGAGAGGATCTTGAGGACTGGCAACCTCTGCCCATCCCAGTCTTCAAACGTCGAGGACGGGCAGGCTGTCTTGAGGTAGGTACACGTGATCTGATGCTTTAGGGCAAGTGCTCATGGTTGGGCAGGTTGCCTTTGCTTTTAACAGGACCCCCATAATTTTTCATGGCCTCACACAACGCATAGCATGCGTTGTGTGCAGCTACTACTGTTGTAGCCAGCCTACTGATTGAGATTGTTGTGTTTGAGCCACGTGAGCACTCAATGTCATCTGCTCATATAGACAATGTTTCAGGAGTATAGAGGACTGCTGCTCACGAGTGATTGCGTTTAGGTATTTTACGTGTGTTTTGCAGCATACATGGCGCTTCCATGAGCGCGACGTCCCCTGTACTGGATGTTCCAGCTGAAGCAACAGCACAAGCTGCCACACCTGTTTCGACTGAGACATCTCAAGTTGCCCTAGCCAGGTATGCCGCATCAAATGTTTTTCAAGACTTAATGCTTGCTTGCCTGGCTGTTCTTCTTTTCCAGCCAGCAGCCTTTTTTCTAATACATGTTTTGCACATCTTTTTTAGTTGCACTGCACCTGAAGACGTTGTGATTGAAATCGACGGGCTGTTTACACCACTGAAAGCACTGCCTCGTAAGTAGATGAGTAGAGGCTCATTGGAGTATTATTAAATGTAAGATAAAACAAAAAGCCACCATCTTCACTTGCTTTATCTGAAGGTTATCTGCTGATTGTTAGCAATGCACCAAAATTTATGTTGATGAGAGCTGGGTGGAAACAGTGATGCATTTGCATTACACACAAGATCTGTCTTTATGGGCTGTCTAAAATTTGCTCTGTTTACATTACTGCCAAACACAATTTTTATGCTCTCACTGGATACTTTTTATTCTGGTGTTTCTTTTCATATCTGCTTATTTTCTTTTTTCTTATTTCTATTTCTGCTCAATAAAATGTATTTACCACCACCACCACAAAAATGAGAACTACTGATGTGCAATGAATTCACTTACACTTCACAGCGGCCCTAGTCTACGTCAAAAATTACACGGCTAAATGGCACCCGTAACTACTTCTATCTACTGCCTTGATGAGCGGTTGTAATTTTTTTATTAAACGTCTCACACAGGCTGCGAAGGCTGAGTTTTCGTCCTCTGCGCCCGCCCGCGCCAGGGGAAGCCAAAGAAAGCGACCTTAGGCTACGCGCGCCGCGGTGCGGCGAAAAACGCGGCCACGCCCCCTTTTCAACTTACGCTCACTCCGGGCGATTGGGACGGCCGGAGCAACGGCGCGCCGCCAGCAGCAAATCGCGGAGGCCACGCTCTACTGCTTCATACAACATCGTACTGCCATCCTCGTAAAGCAATAAAGTCATCTTATAGTGTTGTAATGCACGTGCTTATTTTAAGTGTTAAAAGAAGGTCACCGGTGGTTTAGAGACCATGTCATAAGAAACACGATCAAGTCGTATTCATTACAAGTACCCATTGCTGCTGAGAACATTGTAAGCCAATGGTGCACTCAAGAGAGGACCACAATTCACAGTAACTGCACTTCTACTTCCTAATATTCTTGAAGGTGCATCACATGACAACAGAATATATTACAGCTCAAGCAAGCACAGATCATTTCTCTTACACTGCTTTCCACAGCAGAATATCAAAAGTTCTGCTTTTCTAAAGCACGTCTTGACGCGAACTCTTCTACCAGTGTTTCTCTCTTCCTAGACGTACTGGTAACTTGATCTTCAAACGACATGCACAGATCATATCCGATGAAAACGACTCCTCCGACGAGCAGTGCCTGAAGTTGCGAAGGGCGAGTAACACTAATAGAGAGTCACATAAAACACCACACTTAAATTTACAGTTCACCTGACCAAACTGCCTCTCCTAGTCACTGTCTGGCTTGCTTGAAGAGCTGGTCCCCACTTGGCCACCTGAAAAGATTTAAGGACACTTAATTTGCAGAGGTGCCATGGCCAGAATGGAATTTGGAGCAACTTTTCAAGCTAGGGAAATTCCAACATAGAGGAGATTACAGGAAAACTCTGTCTTTGAGCGCCAAATCCCAAACTCTGAGCAGCAGACAAGCCTTCCTTTAACAACAGAGGTGTACAAACAAAACATATGTCAGCGAACTTGTGCACATGAGCTCTACTACACTTCGATAAAAGCGGTCTGTTGAACCACCCACAGTGTAAATGATGATGACATAACCTTTTTTAAAGGGTGATATCAACAGCTTGCCCATCAACATGCCCAAAAAATTTCCATTGTGAAGGAATAGGCAACAGTACACAACTTCACTCATCCAGGCCATTCTGCAGTGTTACAGAAACCCCAATGTAAGGCTGATGATATGTAAGGTTTAACGTCCCAAAACCACCATATGATTATGAGAGACGCCGTAGTGGAGGGCTCCGGAAATTTCGACCACCTGGGGTTCTTTAACGTGCGCCCAAATCTGAGCACACGGGCCTACAACATTTCCGCCTCCATCGGAAATGCAGCCGCCGCAGCCGGGATTCGATTCCGCGACCTGCGGGTCAGCAGCCGAGTACCTTAGCCACTAGACCACCGCGGCGGGGCCCCCAATGTAAGGCTGACTGCACGAACTCATCTCAGCTGGTGTGCAACTTTTGATGTGCCTATGCTGATACAGTGTGAGAGGCCACTCCCAAGCGCACAAGCGTTCGTGCAATCGGAGAGGTGGATGCGCTAGTACAGTGTAGAAACTTACAACCTAACCACTAATAGTGCAGAACCAGTTACAATGCTGCGTTTTTCGACTCCCATTCACTGTCCCAGTAGAACCCCATGTATACACATACCGCTTATTGTGCAGTCCCCCAAGATGCAAGACCGGTTATAATGTAATTGTCGGAAAATCTTTGTGACAATCGCGGTAGAGAGTGCAGCTCTAAAAGGAGGCGTGCTGAGTGCTCTGCTGGGAAGCAAGAGAAGAGGTCATTACAGAATGGTAGAGGATGCGGAGTGAATGAACGAAGGGCAGAGGGAAGAAAAAGAAAAGGACGAAAGACCGTGGCACGCTGTGTGGGCTAAGGAGGAGGCCAGTTGCCTAGGCGACGGTTAAGCCTTTGCACTAACACCGACATGGCTATACAGTATATTAGCGTAGCTAGCGTGGCTCCAGCCACGCGCAGCTCAACATGGCACGTGCGATCCCATCTTTATCAACTGCGCTTAACAGTTTACTGTCAGAAAAAGCGTCGTTGTTATCGTGCCTGCTACAGGATATTGCGTTTTATACATTATCCGTAAATTTGGAACCTTTGACAGATTTATGACACAAGCTTTCGCCTTTGCTGCCAGTGCACTGTTTTACTAAACTTCGTGGGTTTTCATTGTAGTTGATCTCCCGGCCTGCGAACGCGTATTTTGCATCAGGCATGCTGTTCTTAAATTAGGCTTGAGTGCAGTCATTTCGACACTAGATGTTCATGTCTTGGACAAACTTCCCGCGGCAACATACCCAACAGCAGGACAAACCAAAGCCTAATCGGCGTTGGTTGCACGTCGGTAGCGGTCGCGTGCAATCTAAGTTGCAGTTTGGCATGAGATTAACGACTCTTTGCAAGTGACTACATGAGACGAGACACATATCGTTAATGAAAACGAGGGTGGCTTGTGGATTTGCAATGGTGATTTGCGATTCGATTGCAACATCTTGAAATAAGATCCGCGCCCGTGATATTGAACGATTAGAGTCTTTCAGAACGTGAAATTACGGACGCGATTCGACATTTTGTGTAATGCGCATAATCGAGGCGGTCTGAGAAGCAGTCACCGAAGTTTCGCGATGGCACATTCTCTTGTTAGACACCCCTTCCCCATCCCCTTTTGTGTACATTTATTTGGTAACGCGTGTATTTGATCAATTTTAACATTCATAAATGAACAATTTTATTTAAGATTCGGAAATTTCGGAGGTGGTAAGCACCATGCACCGCACGCTTTAATTCTCGGACATGCAAGGCTCAACCAGTTTTGCGCTACTGAGGCCCTTGAAAAAGGTTGTTTTGGTTATAGCGTGGTACCGCTTATAGTGCGGATATTTGCGACTCCCGCAACTTACATTATAAGTGGTCTATACAGTAATACTGACTGCCATGCACCACAAGTAGTGGCATTGAAATGGCTCACTATCAACATTTGGCATTATGCTCAGGCATTTCGAGGTACCTCAAGGATGTTCACAGTGAACAACATTCAGCACTGTTGTAGGAATCAATAGGACAAGCACTAATGCCAGCTGTTCACTGCAAAGCAGCTCACCTGTCTCTGCCTTGTGGGTCTTCATGTGCAGTGCCCGATGGTCCTGCCGGGCAAAGCGCTTGGGGCACATGGAGCACTTGAACGGTTTCTCTCCCGGTGTGGGTGCGAAGATGCTTGACCATGGTGGAGCTGAGTGCAAACGCCATGGGGCACATGGAGCACTTGAACGGCTTCTCTCCTGTATGCTGTGCGCAGGTGGTCCATCAGGTTGCTCTTCCAGCCGAACTTGCGCTGGCAGAAATGGCACTCGTACATGGGCCGACCGTCACCGGGCACCCGGTACCACCCGACGGGAGGCTTGCCACCGGCCCGGTCATTCGGAAGCTCGTCTGAACGACGTGGCTCCATTGGCAGGGGTTGCTGCACCTTCAGGACAATTACGGACAAGCTGTTAGTTCTTAACTAGACGTGGGCAACGATAATTTCACTGGAAACTATGAAAAGTGGTGAACACAAGTTGCGTTCACACAGCGAAACTTCAGGCAAACTTGTGCTGTCTTATACTTCGAACCTGAGAGGGCACTATAATGTTGCCAAGTTGCCAGACGTTTCTCTAACTATTCATGCAATCAAGTGCAAGGCAGAAGATCGCAAGTGGTGTGCCATGAATTAATTTGAATTACATGGCCAGAAGAGGTTAGGTGTAACACGGTGTACAGAGAAGGCTATTATAATCATCATAATTACCTGCTGCACTTCAGCCTCTGTTGGTGGTGGCAGCTCATCCGGACTTGCCCTGCCTCCCTGAGAGTGCTCCTGATCAGGGTAGGAAACCTCAGACGCCAGCAGCCCACGCAGCATCTGGCCTTCTTGCCGCAATGTGCCAGGTGTGTGTTCGTCAGCCACGTGAGGCCGCAGAATGTTGGTTGGCTGCGCCTGCGTCACCACTTGGGAAAATGCCTGCGGGAACCTCCACGGCTGAGCGAGGGAGGCTCGCATCGCCATTCCCCGCATGGGCACGCGCATTGACTCTGGAAGACAACGCAGCACCATCACTCAACTTGCATGTATAAAGTTCTCACCTGAGCCTACCTGTTAAGAGGGGCCCGGCAACACTTTTCCACGTAAGCATCACATAACCTCAAGTTCAGTATCAGAGTTCAGTTGCCTCAGAAATAAAGTGCCGCAAATATTTTTTGGTTTTGCCAAGTACACATGGATTTATCACTCACATTATATCCCTGGAAGACTGACATTAAGTCCTGGAAGTGTGACGTGCTGCCTACTATGCTACCGAGGCAGACAAAACATTGCCCCAGATACACAGAAAAAACAGGGGGGAGGGGGGTGACACAGGGCACGAAGTTATGTTGGTGCATGTGAGGACCTTGAGCACTTTTTTTTTACATTTTTCTCTCCAAATATGTTGGCTCAGTTTTAGTGTGACCATAGGAGCTGATGTAATTTTACAGTGTGCAATTCTAGAACAATTGTACAGTGTGACTCCGGTATGTGGCAGCACCCCAAGGCAGCCCCGGTAACTATGACAGCACAGGAAGCTCAGTATTAGCCACAGCCATGTTTTCAGCCAAGATGACGCGGTCGCACCCGTCATTAAGAAGGCTCTTGCTAAAGCAAGAGCCTGCGATTTATAGTTGTCCTTCAAGCTTAAGTGTAAACTCCTTGTCAGATGCAATGCCTCAATATTTGGCTCATATGTTTAGAGGAGCTTCAACTACCATTCAGCAGTGTTTTCTGACCAAGATCAAAACTGTCGCAGGAGCCCTTCCAAAGGGCTGTCACCAGGCCTAATTGAAAAGGTAAGAAACAAAATAGTGCTTTCTCAAAACCATTTTACATTTTTTTTTTTGTTTAGAATGGGGTCATTATCATTAAAGGAGTTAGCACAAATTGAACTTGTATGTTTACAAGCTATCAGGAGGGGAGAAACACTATAATTAGACAGCCTTTCCCATTTGGGTCAACTATTGTTTTCAAGTGATGTCCAAGCCCCTTACTTCATCCATGCTTCCTGCTTCACAATGGCACTCCTCTCTTTTTGTATTTCTGTTCTCTCTTTTAATGATGCCTTCCAGCATATGTCCGATGCCTCAAGCGGTAGAATTGCATGCGCCATATTGTACTAAGGTCTGCGATGTTCCAAGGAGCTCCTCTTGCCAAGAGCATTCATGAAATTTTCACTCATGAAGTGTGAGTCAACTTTCATGACTGTTTCAAAACATGGCTGCCTCTAAACAAGTGTGCACCGGTGTCTGAAACTTCCATTGCTTTAGCATAAGCCATTTTGTTACACACGATCGACACTAAGCTATTTACACACCACACATACTTGTTTGCAACGTCCAAGCCTGGTCAGGGGCACTTTAAAGGGGCCCTGCAACACTTTTTGAGCATGGTCAGAAAACGCTACGAACTGGCTGTCGAGGCTCTTGAGAACAGGCAAGCCAAATATTATAGCGCAGCACGATGCTTGAAATTCACAATAAATTGTCAAAGTCGGCTAAAAATTGCTTTCTCTTCTCTAGACAAATAACGCTACAACTCAAAAATCCCTCAAGACAGCCATTGTATGAGCCATTGGCTTGTATGAGCATGGTGTGCTTGGTCGTCACTAGAGCTGCCGAGGAAGGGCTGCGACTTTTCTACGCATGCACGTGCGATTGCACTGAAAAGCCGCATATTCAAAGAAAAAAAAGATACTGTGGTCAAGGTCATGAGGCACGTGTGACGTATTCTCTTTCCCCATGCCATCCCTCCCTGCTTGGCTTCCAGTGCTTTCGTCGGAACAAGAGCAATGCAATTGAAGCAGTGCGACTAATCTTTGTAACTCCACTCACACCGAACAAATTATAAAAATTCTTAAAGCGGTGAACTCGTGAGACATTAGCCTTTTTCAGCGAGTCCAATCCCTGGTTAATTGAAAAAGAATGACACCATATCCACGAGGTGCATGGTAGAGAGTGGGGCGAAGCTGGGTCAGCACGCCGCTTCGGTTTCCCGTTGTCGTATTGCAGGGTCATCGCGGCATCGCCACGCAGCTTCATGGCACGCTTCGGCCTCCCGCACCCGCACAGGCGGGGTTGCTTCTTTGAGCGGGAGCGGCCATCGCTCTGCGTGCACGGCGCTCGACAGCCTTGTCTATCTACCAATCCCCTGAACGCGTGATCGCCAGAACGGCGTTTTTATTGCACTATAGAGCGCCCCCTGGTGCACGGCGCTGCCAAAGAACACGCCCTCGCAGTGGCACGATTATCTCTCTCTCCTTCCGTATGGGTGACGTAAATCCTGTTCGCATAAAACTCACCTTTTATTATTATCTTTTGCTACAAAACGTCCTCTAGTGTGGGACGATTTTAGATTTTTCAGTGTATATGCATTTTTTCTATGGTACAAGGAGTGCTATCTATGGCCAGATGAGAGACTCAACAAGCGGTGGTAACAAAAGATAACGGGACGATTGGGTGACACCACAAGGAGCTTCGCCCCTAGAAGTGTAGAAGTGTAGAAACCGCAGAGCCCCTTTAAGTGCAGTATATGTAGCACTTACAAGTCTGAATATTCTCTTTGCTATGAAGTCTGAATATTCTCTTTGCTATGAAGTCTGAATATTCTCTTTGCTATGAAACTTCACCATTGAGTGTAGTGCTGAAACTACATTCCATTATTAAACTTCTCAGCGCGAAAAGTTTTGATAACACAAGAGCTTGTCCTCTTCTCTTGTGTTAGTTGTCGGAAGTTTTTGCACTGAGAAGTTTAATAATGGATTACCAACTAGCCCAATCCCACACTTTACTACATTTTAGCAGCTTTAAGGCAGGGGAAACGCCAACTGACCTGTGTGGATCCGCATGTGTAACCCCATGCTGTGCTTCCAGGCAAAGCACTTTCCGCAGTAGGGGCACTTGAAGGGCTTTTCACCCGTGTGAATTCGCTGGTGCGGCACCAGTTGGCTGCGGAAGGCAAACCGCTTCGAGCAGTACTGGCACTGCAAGCGACCTGTCTTGGACCCACCGTCTCGAGGCTCGTTTGAACCACTGTTGGCAGCCGATCGCAACACCGGGTCGTAGACAGAGCCATAGCCAGTACTGCTGGTGCCCCAGGGGTCTGTTGACGAGGCTCCCATAAGTTGCTGCTGCCATGCTGAGAGTAAACGACATTAACCCCTTAAGTGTCCTTGACAACCACAGCTCGTGTTATGCAATAGTAGTCGCTTGCCGTTCATGACAAGCACACCTCGTCACAGATATTTCACTATTTGCTTAACTGCTTTTTGTAAACGATGACCATAACAGGATATTTCTGTTTCACACATAAATAGATGTACATACCTAATGTAACAATTAGTAAAGTATATTATGCCATGCAATCTTTTCAAAACCACATCTGTGTTTTAGACAAGCTACTGAAAGATTTCAGACCATAAAAAAATTGAGCCATTAAGGTTCTATCGGTAAAAAGAAATGATTAAGCACTTTATGCTAATAAATCATCTACCCACTTTTATGTTTTGTGTCTACAACTACATCCCTAGAGTTTGACATACACTTCAGGTTTAGCACGGCAGAAGCACTGATGCTAGTACTAAATGCATGCCAATTGATCCAGTCCTGATCTTCAAGTGAGCCAAATGAACAGATAACATTGTCCAGACAAATGCACCATGGAGTACCCCTTGCTAGTTCTTAATAAAACCACTCTTCCCCATTTTTGCAGCTCAAGCTATCATTGCTTACAGCTCCCAAAAACCAGGAACCAAAGTGCAAAAAGACATGCATCTACCAAATGACATGCAAAGCTTCTTTCATTAAACTGTCCTAACCTAACTAACCACTAACTGGATGAAATGTGTGCATTTCAATGTATACATAATGTAGGTAAAGTGCACATGAGTTGTGCATAACATGATAACCTTTTGATAAGGTAACGTCATTACTCCTCTAACGTAATAGCAGTGTAATGTGATTACTTTTAGGCCAGGTGTAATTTGTAATGCAAGTTCATTACATTTTAAACAGACTTAAAACAGCAATTACCAATTTATTTAATTACCTTTTATGAGTAATATTGCCACCCCAAACTTAGCAAGTCAGAGGGGAAGAACAGCACTGATTACAAGAAAGCACTGATTACAACACTCTAATAACTAAAACAAACACGCATGAATGAGCCAATGTGAAGAAATTGCACAAGTTTAGACACGCACTAAGTTTTCAGACAAAAAAGAAAGACACATTAAGAGACCTCTTCCTGACAACCATGAATTCAACGCAAACAGACGTGGTCACTGCGAAGCATTTCCCACAAAAACACCGAGTCACATAAATTTGTCTCATACGGCAGCCAACTAATTTAACTTTCTATAAAATAAAGTGCTTCAAATAATTTCAAACAAAAGGAAGCGCAAGTAGGCAGCAGGATGAAACAAAATATTCCATTTTCCTGCAATCCTTACCGGCAATTGCACGCAGTGCCACAACGGCTTGTGCCCGCCAATCGGCATTGAAGAGATTTGGTAAAGGACAGTAAAGTTCAAAGAGGACTTGGGTCAGTTAGAAACAGCGTATACTTTTTATTAAGCTTCCATTCAATTGCTACCATGAGGACAGTAATCATAAGAGGACAATAGAGAAGCTCTTCTTGTCATTGACTCTTCTGATTGGCTGATATAACCTACAAGCCTTGCAGCATTAAGATAGCGTACCACTGTAGTTGAACACGCATGTAATCAATGCACAGAGCTTACATGTATTAGAAGCATACTGCACCGCTCAAACTCTTGGGCAACAATTCTGTCTCTACTGAACTGAACCCACCTCCAACTCTCGCTGGCCAGTGATAATTCGTAAGGTGGTGCCACACTACGTACAATTGTCCACACTACGCTTGTACTTCGATTGCAACAATATGGAGCCCACTTTTTATGAAAGCCAAGGAAAGTGCAATCAAGTCGTAACTTCCCCTGTTCATCAGAAACCAATAGGTGCGTCTCAAGATATAATCAAGACATGAAGGCGCTAAGCATTGTCAGACATACTACCACAGTTGACAACCGCACAAAGGGCAAACAACTGGAGCTCTGCCAGATCTCAGTTGCACTCGCAGGCCTGGTGAAGGCAAGAGCATCTCTCAGCACTGAGGAGCTGATTAAGCTTGAGTAGCGTTCTGAAATCACCTGTGGGACGTGCACGGGGCATGCAATTTCAACCCACAGAATCTACCATCTGTCGCAGTGAACGCAAAAGTGAGGCAGGGCAGTAAGGTGGTGGGGTGGCAGAGTAAAACTGTGCATATATCAAGTTTTGCGGCTCCAATATTTGTGAAATCCCACAGGCCAACACACCGTGCAGGGAAGAGGTGCAGGAAAGCAGCCATATTTTAAATTCAATGCTCATCCCGTGAGCAAATGCATTTCCAGAGATGATCATGAAGTCTATAAACAGTTTAAGTTCAGACACAGCACATGAGCAGCGTCAAATCTGGCACAGAATATGCAACAGGCAACGAATCCTCCAGTAGGCCAGTGGCCGTAGCATCGCCGAATAATCTTCTATAGCAACTTCTATGAGCAACCTCGAATTAAAGTACGAGAGCATTTCGCACCTTTTCACCACTAGATGACTTGCGATCAAAGCTCCTTAGACAGATGAGAGAAGCTCTATCATGAGCAAATTCTGCTTTTTCTAAAACTTTTGCAACACGTCACTACAAAAAATTTTGGTAAAATGACTGGATATGAATGAGACAGAACTTCACCAAAGATCTTTCCACACACTTTTCCACCAGTAAAGTTAGAGCACAACATTGTATATGCAAGAGAATACTTGCCACCACTGCATAATATCTGTTTGCTAGTTCAGTGCAACACTTGCCAAACCTACGACACCAAAATGCACACCAAAAGCTCTCTTGTACAGCCTAGTACAAGCAAAATACTGTTATCTTTGAAAAGAGTTAGATGCCATATACAGGTAAGCATAGGCATCCTTCAAATTAAATGCTTTCAGAACGCTAATTAAGTGATCAAGAAATAAATTGCGTGGGGTGTTTTTTCATGCATAACTGCTTTATTTCTGGAAAAACCCCAAGCCATACAAACCTCACCAAATGTGAGGGATGAACAAAAAGTGTGCCCTAGTGCAAACAAACGAAAAGTCGTGAACATGCGTCCTTCATCGAATACTGGCATCAACAGCTTCTCTGTTTGCCCCTAAAATAAGATATGTCACTGGTGCACACCTATTACAAACATGAGGAATACAAACATGAAGACAACAGAGGTGACCACTCAGAAATGCAATCTTATCTGCCCGCACAAACAGATGTTTAAATGATTTGATTCCCGGTGACGATCGCAACTGAACAACAAAGTGCACTACCATAAACTTCTCCGGTAAAAAAAAAAAGATATATCTACACTAGTGAATACACTATACAGCCCCTAAATATAATACACAAACACCAGCATGCTAATCAAATACAAAGTGAAGACCTCATTTTCCTTAAAAAATCACAAATAGTGCAACACTTCTATGCATTTTCATAAACAAAGTGTGTTATTAAAACAGAATTACACATCTGTGAACCCTCTTTCCGTAACTTTTGTTGATGCAAGCATCATACCAAGCAAGCGCTGCTTAAATGTTAATGACACTAACTGTTAACTAATTGCCAATTCAATAAATTTGCAATTTTTATATTACACTCACAATTATGTGCATTTAGATAAGCAAAACATGCACAAACAACATAAAACATACAGTGCCCAACTTGGCAGTTGAGCGACTATGGCTTTGTAATGATCAACATAAGATCAAATCCAGGACACAGCACCTACACGCCTACAAAACGAGACCATAAAAGCTAGCCATGTACAATTGTACTGGCTAGCTTTTTTACATTAACTGCAACATGCCTGCCATATTTTCCAACGCATATTATTGAAAATTTTTATGGGAACGCTCTTACCATAATAAAAATACAGTTTAATCAGAAGAAATTGACTACCGCTCGCATGTACAACTGAATCTACAAACTAATTCACTGGCAGATCATCGCGTCCACTCGTGACGTGCCGAAGCCACGCTATTCACTTCTTTCTGCTCCTTGCTGTTTGCTTTTATTGGGATAGCAATTATATGGACACTCTTGGCTGGATTTTGCCGCCGGTGCCGGTGTCATCGTTGACATCGACGACGTCGTCACTCAGCCTATATGTATATGTATCTATATACCTATGAACGCAAGAAAGAAACATAATCCAGAAAATAACTCCGGCATGCGGAATCGAACTTGGAACTTCTGAATCGCGTTATCACTGAGCCACAAAGGAGCACCTTCTTCAACGTTCAAATGGCAAGCTATCTGTATCTACCACTTACCTGCTGCTGATGGGAATCTTGGGGGAACTATAGTGTTTTCAGCATTACCAGCAAGATGGCACAATGAGCATGCGTCGCCACATCGTCCCGACGTGGCGGCGCACTCTCATCTTTTACATGTACTTTGCGCTACAGGAGAGGAGAGGGTGACGCTCACTCGCGTGCCTTTATTTCGCAATGGGAGGATCGTCTATTTTTGTTGACTTTGGGCTTTCATTGGAACGATTCGGTTGTAGTTATCGGGCACACAAAGGTCACTGCAATCGTTGCACAGTCTCCGTTTGCGAAAAGAGCGCGCTTTTCATACACAGCGAAGTAAACAACTGAGACACTTATTCGCGTTCATCTGTACCTGTGAGTATGTTTTGTGCGTCAATTGTGCGTGAGAAACGCAGGGCACATTTTTATCTGCTTGCCATTCAGTGCGTGGCCTTCAAATTTGTTGCTATCACGTTCATTGCTTCACGGCTGCAGCAAAGCTGCGACTTTTTTTTTTTATATGTGAAATCTTGTTAAAATGGATAGCATGGGACTTCGAAAAAAATAAAGCATACCAGCTGAATGACCCTGAGAAAAAAGAAGACTTCCTCTATTAACGTACATCTACCTAAACAAATTCGTTAGTTTCATCCCCCTGTTAAGGGGAGATGAGAGTCGACAAATCGCGTTTTTAGGAAAATTTCTCGTATTTCTGATTTTTATTGCATTGTAATCTTCAAACCTTCTTTTTTCATCTGTGAAAATTTCAAAACTAAATTCGAA